AGCAAAGTTGAAATCCATACCCTAGCTCAAGATCTTTGACTTAAGTCATTTTAAAGGACCAACATCACACTTTTTAATGCTCCCCATTATCATTAGTTCCATTCAAAAACACGTTTCTTACAGGTTCTTTGCACACTGTTAAAAATGCCAAAAATGTAGACACATTTTTCTCAAGTGAGCAGATTTTAAGGGTCTTAAGCCTCACTTCAGTTTATATAATAAGTCGGAAGTGGGTGGGTGGGACAATATAAGGATGGCCTGGTATTCATAGGTCACTCTAATTAAAATGGTTTTGAGTTTGTTCTCACCTTTTTTTCTTGAATTTTGGTATCTGGCTCTTTTTTGCAGTGACATTTTCAATCTTACATCCTAATTTATAGTTCCACTCCTGCCCCTATGTCAATGTCTGACATACAAACGGTACTCAACAAAGGATTGTTGAATAAATTATTGAACAAATGATTGTTGACTAAATAAATTTTCTACCCTAAAACAAATTAAATACTTTCTATGTCCAAGTTCCTGCAAAATAGAAAGATGAAAGCCCATACACCTACTATGAGAATCTTTGGGCAGTGTTTTATTCACTGGACTAATTTTTCACCTTTAAATTCTTTCTTCCAGCAATAAATGGACTTCATTGCTTACTTTTCATTAGCGTGTTCTCAAGGAGTTTTCCTCCAAAGTCTAACCGTTTCCTCAAATAGTCACTACAAACTCTTATGCATACCTCAGAACCTTTTTTTAGGAACTAGACTCAAGATTCAAAGACTGTTCAGTTTTACTTAGTTGCTATTCAATTTTACTTAGTTACAATTCAAATTTATTTAGTTAGGTCAGGAAAGTTAAAGAGCTACTTGGTCCATCAGAAACACACACACACACACACACACACACACACAAACTCTATAACCTCCCCGCACCCTATCTTTACTCTCAGGAAATGATGAAGCCGTATGATTAGAGAGCTCATGACAAGTGGGATATCAGATCAGGTACTGCCTAACTACTAAGTACCTAGGATTTTTTTGTTTTTTACTACTCTGTTATATCACCCAAAGAAGGAAGAGAACTTTGAACGCTCTTCCTGTGAATAATTAATGATTGATTTGCTATGCTAGGAATGTGTAATGGTGTGAATTCCAGAGAGTGTGCCTATCGTTGGTAGTGGGCAGGAGAAAATGTACAGATCTTTCTTAAGAAAATATGTCTGATTGGATATCCTGCTAATGATCATGCGTGCTGTTATGTGTTTAAAACCTGCCTTGAAATTCAATGATAAATAGAAATTCTATTTTATATAAACAGGCAAAGATACAGACTAGGAAAATACTACCTTATCAAGTGTGTATTCATCAAAACTCCACATATCTTTCTTTGCAGGAGTAGTCTTTGGCAATAATTCTCATTCTGTCTCTGATGTTCATTAGATTATATGACCTTGGATGAATCAATAGCCTATAAAATAACTCAAAAAGTTGTTTTCAAGATTAAATAAATTCAAAGATGTCAGACATTTAGCATTGTGTCTGGAATAGCAAAGCTGTTCCTTAAATGATAGTTTTCTTTCTTTTCTCTCCATATGTAGCATTTTAAACATATTTTGTACACCACTTGGAATTCTATATAAGCTTTGGGAAAATACACTTTTATATGTGTGCTTTAGGAGCACTGTGGAGGAATTTACTCCAGTTACACACCCCATTTACATGGTGAACAAAAGCATATCACATTGTGTAAAAACCAGAGCCAACACTCTTTCGCAGGTCCTGAAGTTAGTTAAGTATTCTCTGCACTGAAACACATTGCTCTCCTTCCCGTGATCAGAGGTTAAAACAAGTGTGCAGAGCACTTTAAGGATCTTGAGGAGTCATGGGCATCAAAAGAAAATTATTATCTGTATTACCCTCCTTCTAATAGTGTACTTAAAAATGAAAGTATATCTGGATGGATTCCAGCAAGGAACCCCCACCCCCTCATGAAACGAGGATGCAGCCAGCTCTTCTACTCAGCGGAATTTTGTGCCATATACTTGGCATGAAAAACTGAGGTCTATAATGGAAAAAAGAAAAAGGTCTGTGTGTGTGTGTGTGTGTGTGTGTGTGTGTGTGTGTGTGTGTGTTTCTGGGCAGAAAAGGATGTAACTGTGTACTTTTAAAGCTCTAATCACTCTGGCTAAATGATAGCATGTTTAAAGGGCTATGTTGGGACCAATGTGGATGTCTCTGGTTTTGGTCAGGACGTAATGCATAAGGACGTTTAAAAGAACTGCCTGCTAATATTGTAAAATATTCTCCATTCTTCCACACTGGTCCACCAGCCAAGAATTCATCCATATGTTGATGACATTCAAAGGAAAGAACTACCCTAGCTGTGATGACACTAGGGATGGCACTTTGTTCCCTCCATGTTTGTCTCTAACCACTTGCTCCATTACTTACAGGAACTGCCTCCCACCAAGAAGAGTGAAAAGGCCTGGAAATTTGCATTCTAACCTCCCCTTGGTCTAGTGCATGGGCATGTGACCCAATTCTGGCCAGTGATTTTGAAAAAATATTCTGGGGATAGAAATCCCTAGGAAAGATTTTTTCCTCCAGTTAAAACGATATGTACAATACAAAACTGCTCTTTCTTCTTTCCTCTGAGGGTAATTGTGTGAAGACATGATATATGGCAATGCACCAGCCATTTTATAATCACAGAAACAAACCTAAAAGTGAAGGCCAATACACCAAGGATGACGTCCCAGCAGAAAGATGATGGGAACACCAGGTCCTTGATGACTTCATTTAGTTCTGGACCTCTTATTAAGTAAATCCATAAAATTCTTTATCATTTGTACTACTTTAATTGAGGTATACTTTACTTACAGCTTAAAATACGGTTGATATAATAGTGATATAATGTTTTTGCTAGAGGATGAAAAAGTTTTCCAATCAAGGCTGACGAATCTTTAAAAAAAGAGTAGATACTTTCCATGTGGTATGACTGAAAAACTATTGAAACACATAACCCTACCATTTTATACTCTTTATCCAAAATTCCTACTAATTAATCCTTGAGGGTATACATTAATTCCATAAACAAACTTTTACTTCCTCTTATGCGTAGGGTTGACAGATAAATATAAATACTGAAAATGTATTCATCACTTATCTGATCCAACTTTAATTGAATGTCCTGTGTTTTTATTTGCTAAATCTGGAATCATGTACCATGTCCTATGGAAGATTCTGGAGATAAAGCACCATCCCATAATTCAAAGAACTCATCTCCTTCAGAGACTTTAGATGATTCTAATGTGTCATCTGTCCACTGCTTTAGAAACTCTCTGGTTCAACTCAACATTCTACATGCCAGGAAACCAAAGCCGAAGAGGTCGTGGGATTTTCCCAAAGGCACAAACCTGCCCACAGGCAAAGGTGGTACTAGAACCAACATTTCAGGATTTTTTTTTCTAGTATACCTTTTACCAGTTGCCCTTTCTTTCCTGCTCCTGAAGTCTCTTCTTTTAAGGATGAAATGGGAAACTAATACTGTTTGATATGGTAGAGGGAGGGAAGCTCATAATATAAAAGGTCTAATTTCCTTTGATGAGGAAGACAAGCACATTTTAGTCAATTTCTTACACAGAAAATTATTTTGAATAAGAAGACAAAGAATTGTGGAGAAAGAAAATCTTGTTCAAATCCATAGAAATACTTTCTTAAAAAGAAAAATTTCCAAATATTCTTTCATATAGATAATATACATGTGTGCACATGTGTGGTGTACACGTGTGCATCATACGAACGTATACATGTCACACATACGCTTATAAGTCACATATATACACAGTTTATGAATAGAGGCCATATAAGTGATATGTAGCTGAGAGCTACACCATGACTTGCTATATTTTGCAGTAAGAATGTCTTCCATTTTTTTCTATGTAGGTAACCTTTGCTAATATTTTGATCAAGACTGCTAAGTCCCAGGACTTGTAAACAATGAGTTTTGCTTGAAATTTATTTAAAGAAGATCATGGTGACTTGCCAGTGGAAAAAGTCATTATTCCTCCTGAAAATGGGCAGCAGAGAATTTAAAGCCCTTTGGATAAACTGCCATATATCAGATTTCCAATTCCTAGATCATTAGAACAGAAGGCTCAGAGTTTTGTCTAGAAAATTTTTCCTTTTTTAGCCAGTTGAATTCTTTCATTTTGCACTTTTAGTCCAAATCATGTGATTTTGTCACTAGAGAAGACAGAGGCTGGATTAAGTCAATTCTCTGTAGAAGATCTTAATCTAGCGTACACTGCTTATCAATCTTCTTTTCTCATGTTTCCTATAAGTCAAATCCAATTATCCTAAATGCAAATAATAAGGCAAATTTCACTTTAATAAAAAATAATCCCGAAACACATTCCTATAGTATTAGACTTTATTTAAAAAAAAACTATGAAATTTCAGAATAATTAGGGTAAATTCAGATGGTCTTTGGAATTCCTGATAAGAGAAAGTAACTCAAAATCTCAGTTCTTTAGGTCTAGGTATCCTCAATCACTACATCCAGTTATGATGTACTGAGTTTTCAAAGTCTATCAACTTAACTAAGTAGCTACATTTGTTTTCATGGAATGTTCAAAAAGGAGAGAAGCACACATTACCATATCACGAATACCAACTTTCTCTTTTAAGCTACCCTTACCACAGCCAGGGAGTCTGTGAAAACTGAAAAAGCTCCTATTTGAAAGGAACAAATAAAAGTTTTTTAAAAAGATTGAGCACTGCAACTTCAATCTTTCCAATTATTCCAATATTTCCAATTATTCAGCTGTTTAAGTGATTTCTTCTCTGTACCACCTCTAAGCTACCTACATTTTGGCTATTTACAATATCCAAATCTATTCTCAAAATATAAGATTTGTCATTTCTGAAAAGAGTCAACATGTATTTTATTGCATACCTTCTGTCATGCTCATTGATTTTTTTATGAATCCCGTTACCTTATAGTCTCACCTTGTGCAGATGAGAATAACATCCCAGGATAAGAATTTCTATAATTGAAATGTGAAAAGTACATCCTTGAGACGTCTACATACAGGGTGGTGGATCCTGTCTCACCTGCCTGGGCATGTTGTACTGAGTTGAGGTCATACTTACGCAAATGACATTCCAAACATTTTTCTCCCACTAAATTAAAAGGGGCAGTTCAAGGTTCTCTCTCTCCCATTGGTTAGGAATTCTGACACAAGGACCTAGAGAGCTCTGCAGTCCTAAAATGGAGCTATTGCTACCCACATGACCTGTGCGAGGGCTGGATCCTTCTCTCCTACATCCCTGCACCACTGCCCCTTTAGTCAGCACAATTCAACACTTGAAAACTGGGCAACCTGACTGAGAATGTTCTACTTGAACTTTGATTTCAGAAGGATGGCATGTCTTAAAATGTTGACCATTTACTGATTAACTTAGAAGAATTCCCCCAAACTGAAGATAAAGTCTGAAGCTAAAATCTTAACACAGAAAAACTTAATAAGGAAACATTCTCCTAGGATCCCTGACATCTATGGACTTGTCTATTAGATCCTGGCTCTGGATAACGGATTAATATACAATACGTCTTTGAGGAATTTCTTCTTTCCTAAGACTCCTTTAGTCATTGGAAATTGGTTCCTTCCTTATTGGGTATTTCCCTATATAAAAATCATTAAGTAACTGCTAATGAAAGGTCTACTGTTTCATAGTTGTAGAGCTATCTCTTTCATACTTATTAGGTAATGGTCTCAAGCATATGATAATAAGATAAAGTATGATTGAGGATAAGGCAAGAGCTGTGCTTAGAGCTGATGGTATAGGTGTGTCTACTGGAGACAATATTCCCACCAGGGTTCCAAATGGCACCCATATACCACTCTATTTTACTCTTAACCAGTATGATTAAGTATCAACATGGGAATGTTCTTCCTTTCTCAAGAGAGTAAAGAGATAAAACTGTTTTGTTCTTTAATACACTACAGATATTGGAGGAAGTATGGTGGTGTGGAGAATAAATGAAAATATAGAGAAAACAGTAGAATAAAACAGTTTGTTTAGAATGGGTCAATGTGGCTCTCAGAGATCCCAAGCTCAAAGTCCTAACTTCATGTTCAATTACTTTCTGTTACAAGAATTAATAAGAATGAACATAAGAATTAATAATCATTACATTTGTTATTATTGCTAAATTCCATCCATTTAAGTGTTCTGTTGCCAAAAGCAAGCCCAAATTGATGACAGAATAAGTACCTTTCTCTGAGTTAAGCCTAAAATTACTTCAGCACTGTCAAACTACCCAGCTTCCTTTCAAAGCCATGTTTAATCCTATCATTGATATACTTACCTAAGCTCTTTTGGAACCCACTTATCTCACAAAGAGTTTAGGCAATTCAACTGAGATTAAAAAATATGTTTAGTTTTTTTGATAAAATTTCTCACTGATTTTTTTGTTTTTCTGATAGTGTATGCTGTCCATTTGCTATAGCATGATTATTTTCCTTACAGAGATGATTGCTTTCAAGGGAGAGCTAAACACTATTCCTAGATAGCTTTCCGTTGCTGCTACCTTTAGTTTATATTCAAACAAAAGGAACAAACAGCTTTCTCAAAGATAGTGCTACTATCACTAACTTCCACTTTCTATGATCTTTCTTTAATTAGTATTTAACTGGTGAATAAATATCGGTTGAGACAATTACGATAGGATCATAATGCCATCTAGTGGACAATCTTCAAAATATCGTCCCATGGGCCATTTTCTTTCTATCCTTCAAAATACAATCTTTATTCTTGAAAAAGTGGTCCAAACTACTTGCCAAGAATTATCAGTTAGTATTGTTGAATCCTCTGATAGTACTTCCTACCCTGGTGAAGTCTTAAGTAAAATTAACTTACCATCTTGTGTGCCCCAGGCTCCTTATCTGTTCAATGGATGGAGCCAATTCCGCTGGGAAAAAAGAGAGGTTCCAGAGTGGTAATTCAATGCACTCAGTTCATCCTCAGTAACAGTATTCTAGGTAGTTCATGCTTCCCATCTGGGAAACATAAGAATAATCTCTCAGTTGTCTTGAATAGCATAAGTAATAAATTATATATACATAAAACCTTTTTATATAATAATTTTATAATTTCATCTTCTCCTAACAGCTTTGTGAATACAGTGGAATGTACTTATATTATACCTGAGGGAATTAAAGTTAATTAAAAGTAAGTGACTTGATCAGAGTCAGATACCTATAAAAGTTCAAACTCAGTCACAGGTTTCTCAATGACTCTTTCGATAAGCCAGCAGTATATTAAAAGAGTGGCATTTTATAACAAAGGAGACCTTTTCTCAGAAATACGGGTTAAACACATGTTTATCTATTAATATGATTCACTACTTTAGCAGATACAAAAGGAAAAATATATGGTTATCTCAGCAGTTGCTTAATAAGCATTTGATCAAATTCAACTCCCATTCTCAATAATAATAGAAGTCTTAAGGTTGAAAGAGAATGCTTCCATAGCTTGATAATAATAGAAGTCTTAGGTTGAAAGAGAATGCTTCCATAGCTTGATAAAGATTATATACAAGAATCCTACCAAAATCATCATATATAATGGTGAAACATTATCATTCTTCCCAATTACATACAGTAATAGAGCTAGTATTTCTACTAATATTATTAATTCAATGTACTTAAAGCCTGAGGCAATGCAATAAGACAAGATAAAGATATAATAAATTGGTTGGTTGCTGTGAAAATCAAAAAGAGAAAAAAAAAGAAAATCAAAAAGAGCTAACAAAAAAAATCAGAGTTTATAAAATAGTTATGAAGCAGGGTCAAATACAAGATGAACATAAAGCAATAACCTTCTTACACAATTAGAAAATATAATAGGAAAAAAAACTATCCCATATACAATAGGAAAATAAAAACACTAAAAATACACAAAAAGCATATAAAGCCAATAAATGAACAAACTGAATATACTTAGAATAAAGCAAATAAGAAATGTGCAAATCTTACATGAATGGAGTTGATTTTATCAAATGCTTTTTTAGCATCTATCAACATGACGGTATATATATTTTTGTTTTAGATTTACTAGTAAAAATATAGGCAACTTATCTGACTATACACAATTTCATTTTTATTTTTTTTCTAAAGATTTTATTTATTTATGAGAGACACAGAGAGAGAGAGACAGAGACACAGGCAGAGGGAGAAGCAGGCTCCATGCAGGGAGCCTGACGTGGACTCGATCCCAGGTCTCCAGGATCACGCCCTGGACTGAAGGCTGCGCTAAACTGGTCTCCAGGATCACGCCCTGGGCTGAAGGCTGCGCTAAACTGCTGAGCCACCCAAGGTTGCCTGTATACACAATTTTAAAATGTACTACGATACAAATTTGACGAGAGACTGAGAAAAATATTTGCAACAATTTAGCTGAAATATAATTTTCTCAGAGAAGCCACCCTTTTTATCCCTATCTTCATTATATTTCTTCATTACTCTCTCTTAATGATTATTCTTATTCAGAACATGTGTATTACTTTGGAATAATACATTAATTACAGTGATAATTCCATTAATTTTTCAGTTAATTTCTACATTTCTAGAATATAAGTTCCATGAGAACATGAACTCTGTTTTTCTCACCAAGCACATATTTTGGAAAATAATGGGCTCAATAAGTGTTTGTTGAGTGAAAAAGTGAAAATAAATCTATGTAGGACAATTACAATTAAGAAGAGAAAATAAACAACCTTACAAGCATAGGAAAGGACTGCGAACAGGTAATTCCTAGAAGGATGTCTATCAATTAACCCATGAAAAAATTTTGTCTCACTATAAGAAAAATAACATTTTTAGATCTCTTCATTTCTCTCCCCATGATCCCAGAAAGAGGAGTGGTCAGGCAAATGTCAATGTAGAAAGGAAGTGAATTACCATGAAAAGAAAATAGTCAGATTAGTAGAGAAATGGAGTGGAATGCCCATTTTTGCCATGCCCATGTGGTAAGGAAGGAAGAGTAGATTAGAGAGAGGAGACATCCCAAAGAAGTATGTATGGTCTCCTCAACCTACTCAAATCCCAGAAGTTATAATGTTAGTTTAGCCGAAAAGTAAAACAAAAGCAGAAAAGCTTTTCTGCTCCATACTCAATTTGCAAATCTGTGTATGGTGGTGATAAGGGTGGGTCAAATGTAATGAATATTTCCTTACAAGGTAGCCCCATGGTGATATTCCTTGGTTAAAGCAGAGTTCAAATAGTTACAGAGAGACAGAGAGAGTAAAAGAGAGAGCACCAGAGTTATAACACTGAATTACCCTCTGATCCCATGAGACCAGGAGTCTTATAGATTTGCTGACATCTTTGTGAAAGGTTGTTGATGAGACAGGTTGGAGTTCTTGATGGTATGGCTTATAGTTGTGGCCAGAAGGGAGTATCATCACAATTGTGGGTTGCGGGGCAACAACCGAGTAGGAATTTCTTGGGGATGTCAGAAGACCTTGGGAATATTGACAAGGTCCAAATAGATGTGAAGTGGGACTGAATCATCTAGGCAGAAGTACAGGCCATGACAAAATCAAGAAAATGGACTCCATGCATTCAGGGGTTGCCAACTTTATCCTCAGTCCTAGTCAGAGCAGTCAGTCCTAAGCAGAAACCAATGAAGATTTAGAAGACAATGCAAGAGTCCAAGACCTTTCTCTCCACTACTGTGAGGTCAGGTAAGTCTGTCTCTGTAGCTTTTATTTGCCAGACATTGTGTCAGAGAAGGGGAAAGAGGAAAAATAGCCTGATAGAGAGTTAAAATTTGAATTTCCTAGATAATCTACCTGAAGTTAGATTGTCTTAAACCAAGAGATGCTGATATAACATTAATTTCAAGGTTAAGTTAAGTTTCTCCTAAGGAACATAAAACATGCTATTGAAAATAAAGGAATATAAAGAAAAGTTACATTATTATATTTCACCCAGAACACTGGCAAAGTTGAACAAGATTAATACCATTTTATTGTCATTGAACATGCAAAGAAGCAGATAATCTAAAATACT